AGCAAGGTCCGCTTGGAGAGAACTGGGAGCCTCGGCTCTCTACTCCAAGGGAAAAATTCATAAGATGGCTGGACGGGAAAACCTACCACCAAAGCTCTCTCTCTCTTCTAAATGGGGATGGAGAGAAGGGGTATGAAAATAAATGGCAATGTTTCCAGGCTGGCAACGAAAGGAAATGAAAAAGAGATTGGAAGGAAGTTAGAACCAGAAACCAGGAGTGCCGGGGAATACTTTCATATCAAAAAGCCCTGTTTTCAGAAAAATGATACCAGTACCGTGGGCGCGGGGAGCACAGAATTCATATCAGTGGCTCTGGCTTCAATAACCACGGCAGAGATGGGAGATAGCCAGGGCTCCGAGATAACGCTGTCGGCGGTGCGAGCCCCGCCGGCCCGGCCCCCGGCCCGCGGAAGCCGGTCCTCGTGGCCAGGCCCCGGCTCCGTCCCCCATTCGGTCCCCCGCCGGGTCCCCATGCCCGGTCCCCGGCCCGGGGAAGCGGGTCAGTCCGGCCCCGGTCCCTCGGTCCCAACCCCGTTCCCGGGAGGCAGGTCAGCCCGGCCCCGGTCCCCCCCACCCCCACGCCATCGGTGCCCGGTCCCCGGCCCCATCCCCGGCCCCCATCCCCGGTGCCCAGCCACCGCACCCGGCCGCCGGGGAAGCGGGAAGCGGGTCGGCCCGCCCCGAGAGGGACCCGGCCGAGTTCCCGCGCGCTGCCGCTAGAGGGCGCAATGCTTTCATGGAAAACGTGGGCCTGTTTTTCTCGGTTCTCTGAGAATATAAACTAGGAACATGGCATAATGACTAAAACCTCAATCTCTCAAATTAAGCATAATGATTAAAGATCACAGCGAAGAGAAAATCTTTTAGTTTGCCCCTGGCATCGGCCAAATCATAGCCTGAATAGCTGCAAAAGCCTGATGGATTTCTACAGGGAAGACAATTATTTGAGAGATTTCTAGTTGAGGGCAAGAAAAATGAAAAGTAAAGCTACCGAGATAAATCCCGACAAGGTGAAAACTAACACCCACACGCCCACCATCGCCACCAAGTCCACCCAATACTGCGGGAAGCACACGACCTGCCTCGGGAAAGAGCCGTATTAACAGCTTTAAGTCTTTTGGAATCAGGGACCCCTTTAACATTCCCTGTGCCGGCACAGGCTGGGATTAAGGAAGTCCTTCACACACGAGATGATGTGCACAGAGGAGGCACCTTGGGGGACGTTTTTATTTAACAATCGTCTGGTCTCAGTGAGCCCCTTTCGTGTCTCTCTCTGTAGCATAATTTTCTTTAGGAGCTGAAGTGCATAACCACGCTGTGCCCTGCAGAGAGGGCTATACTCAGAATGTTCGGGAAGGCTTTGGCAAAAACTCTTCCGATTAATAGGAAAATACTGAAGAGGGGGTGATTCATCTTTTATTTGGTTCGAATAAATTGCCTTAGAGAACAGCAGAACACTCTAATTCCAAAGTGACTCGAGCCCTGTCTTCATCAGAAAATGAATATCTCCCCGGAGACCGTGGTATTTGTAACTTAGTGCTGCGGAATTCACTTTATCCCTTAATAAAAACATAATCTCTTTATCCAAAAGAACACTATTACTGCGAGCTTAGAAATCAATTATAAGGTAGGAAAATTAAGAATTATTCCATCTAATTTGCCTTCTCATATCCCCAAACAGGTTTTACTTACTCTGCTAGTTCGTATCGAAACCTCCAATTCCTGCTGTTATCGGTCACTACAAATTCTTGAAGCTGATAAAGATATTCTCTCCTCTTGTCTTCATGAAGCAACTGTTTTTTAAAAATGTATACATAAATGATAGTGCAGAACCCCTCCAAACGACCCCAAATGTATTGTTTTATTACACTTGAACTCGTACAATCGTCCCCGGCAAGATCTGTGCATTCCCCCGATGCCTCGAGCCCCGTCTATCACCCGGTGTGGTTGTGAATTAAGGCTGCTGCTAAGGGACCTCACATGTACCCCCGAATGCCTCCGACCTCCGCCCCGGTGGGTGTGTGTGCTTGTGTGTTCCTGAATGGCCCCGAGCTCTTCCCCCTCTCACAGTTTCCTGCCTGAAAACAACACGTGCGTGTGTGTTCGGAAAACAACGCCACTGCTGTTTCCCAGGGAGTCAGCTCTCTGCCGTCAGCAGGAGAGGAAAGCAGAGCCGGTGCGTCATGCGCCCCAGTCCGTCAAGGGCAGCTCGTGGTCATGTGGATGCGAGTAATTAGTTTCTCTAGGTCTTTTTGAGAGCCTTATTTTTACACTCATCATTCCTTTAAGACAAAAACTGAAGAGGCCGGAAGGGAAGCAGCAAGGTCTCGCAGAGAGAGCCCTCCCGCAGAACTGAGATTGGAGAGCAGCCGGCTTCTTCCCCTGGGTGACCCCGGGCACGGTGCGCACCACCCCGGGGGCCTGGGTTCCTTCGTCCTCACGGGGCGCGCTAGGCTACGCGTCTAGCATCCTCCGTGGGATGAGACCTCCGAGGGACAGGAAGATTGAAAGGCAAGAAATAACAACAGTTACCCATCACTGAGAACACCCTCTATAAGACTCTGGATGGTAGACTTCAACCAAAGAAACCCAGACTAGTTGCTTTTTGTTTCTCACTGCTCCTTCACACAGCCAGGGTTTTTGTTTTTGTTTTTTTGTTTTAAGACATTGCTTTGAAGTGGGAATGTCTGGTCTTTATTTTTAATCCTTCTTCCTACCTTTAGAAAGTCATACAGGTGTTTGAGAATTCCTATTCGTACTTCATCCAGGTCCTTTAAAAATCCGTTGAAGATGGGCACCAGGTCAGCTGCTGTTAACTGGTCCCCAAGAATCGCAGCCAGCTCGTGAATAGAGAAGGCCAGGGTCCGACGCACCTTCCACTGGGGGTGCACAGAACACAGATCACGGGAAGCAAGCGTGAGTCACCGTCACCAAGAGCACAAATGGCATTTTTAGGGCAGAACGGACACCTCCAGGGGTCGGCCACCAAAGTGTTCATCTCGTGAAGGCCTGGTAGGCGTGCCAGATGGCACCCACATGGGAAACAGGCCGGCACGCCCTGTGGCCCTTCCCTTCACTCCCAAGCAGACGACCCCCGCCCCCCACCCCGCCCCCCCAGTTCCGTGTGTGCCGCCGAACGGGTTCCTGCTTTACCTGCACGTCAGAAGCCAGCGTTTCGTACGTATCTTTGAGGCAATGCCAGTTTCGCCTGCCCAAGGTAAGCGCCACCCCCGGGAGGCTGTAGGCGCAGTGCTTGGCGATGTCGGTATCGACAGTCTGGGCTCGAGCTGGGTCAGTCATCGACACGTACTGATCTAGCAGGGGCTGAGGTATCACATCCTGGGAAAGAGCAGAGAAAGGACACCATCATGCTCGCAGGAGAGAAGGAAAATGCTCAGAAAAACAAGGAGTCTGGAATTTGGAGGTGAAAACAGCAAAGCAGAGACGTCAGAGGAACCAGAGGCCTTCGTCCAAGCTCAGGGCTCTGGATTGGTGAACTGCTCTGCAGGAGGTGAATTTTCGACTTGGACCGAATGAGGCTAAAGCAATGTCTAGACCCATCTCTTCCAAATGTGCCTAACATGGGATATTCCAGAGAACATTCTAGACACCAACATCTGGTTAGTCCGATGCACACGCTCTTGAGAACGGAAACCACCTTGTCTTGTGGCTGCCTGGCACCTCGAGCCCATACACGCGGATTTTCACTAGCTTCTCCCAACTGATGGGATGGGTCACCGCCTTCCTCAGACATCACCCACTTACCTTTGCTTCTGTAAGGATAATGGAATACAATCATTTAAAAGATTTAAGAGACCTTACATAACACAAGAAGCCAATCCACAAGATAGAACCAAGTCAAACATAGTTCAACCAAAGAATCTGTCAAAAATTTTTCAGACCAAAAAAACCCCCAAAAACTGAAATGACTTGTATAGATACTATTAAAGGACAGGTGTCACATTTTTTTCTCATACTTGATTTGCTTTATTAAAATACTGTTCTAGATTGTTCAAAAGACTCTAAACACTCCTTCAGAACTTGTGTTTTGTTTTTTTTAAGTAAGTTACAGAGGAAATATTAGCAACACAGATGATGAACGAAGAGAAGTCATTAATATTGATGGGAACTCTCTGGTTCCCCTGGCCATTCTTAAATTTAACTTCCAGAAAATGTGAAGTTTTCAACTGCTTTTCTTTTCAAGGAACAAACCTGTAATTTAGATTTATTCTCCTCGAGTGGGGCGGGGAGATGCCTCTGCTCGGTCTCCAGAGGGTCCCTGACTCCACCGCAGGGTTCGCCAGGGTCCTGCAGAGTTGATGGGACACGTTACCAACTTACCCCAAACAGGAAGCTGTCCTATTGTTCCCCCCCTCAAGGAGTCCTCTTTCGGTGCCGGAAATGACCTCCACGGACCAATACTGGTGCTTCCCTTCCAGTCACTGGTATCTCTCCAGATGTGAAAAAATACATTTGCACAGTTACAGACGACATGGTAGAGGTCGGTCACCTTAAGTGCCAAGGCAAACAGATGTCGTACATTTTCATCTCAAGACTGCTTGAGGCCCTTAGAGAGGACAGGCTGATGTTGGTGAGAACCAACAACCTGCACTGACCATCCTTTAAGCCCCAGGGTCCCAGGGTGGCTAATCAATGCCCGGCAAGTAATGTCACAAGTTTAAGACAAAAGCCATCCCAGAAGGCAGCGCGGAGCAAACTCGTCCGGCATTTCTCGGGAACTGGAGACACGGGAGCAAGGTGCACCTGCCGGGACGGATGGAGCGGAGTAAGGGGAAGACCTATTCCATCTGAGCGAAAAGACACAGCTGATAAAGGAGTATTTACCTGGAAAACTGTTCTCGATTTTCACGTGTACAAACACTTCTAATGTTTGCTGATGGACCTTTACATTAGGTTAACAATTAAAATGAGCAAGAACACTCAGCGGTGACATATTGGTCTCTGATCATTGATTACATTAGCAGAGATGAACCTGACCTTCTCCTCCAACCGTCACATGGGTTCCTACGTGCACTTGAAATGTCATGCTGTCTACCAGCTTAATGGATCCTGACAAATCAGCTCAATATATGATCCAGGAAAGTCGATTAATACACCGATAGATGCTTCGTTTGCTCCAAGGCATATGCTACCACGATCTTCAACCCCCCAGGTTTCCACTGAAACGTACTGCTTGTTTCAACAGAGGCCAGCCCAAAACAGAAATGTTTTGGTATGATAACCTAAGACCTCAATTTCTCCAAGTTAATAAATGCGTATATGTTGATATGCAATAAGTCATTCGTCTTCTCTCAGGAGTTAATCTGACTCCGAAGTCTTTGGTCCAGTTGTTACGCACAGCACTCGCCCCGGTGCAACGTACCGCCACCAGTGACAGCGACCTCAAGAGGCACTGGGAGGTCATTTCCCCAGAAAACCACCTGGCAGTCAAGACACAGGTGAGAAGCTCCAGGGCACCCCCCCCCCCCCCCCCGCCCCCCCCCCGCACTGGGCATCTCGCCACACGGATGGTGCACGAAAAAGGCAGAGTAGAAGCAAGGAGCCAAGAAGGCAGAGTAGACGCAAGGGGCGGGGTCAACACCGAGGCACTGCACTAGCCAGCCGCCCGGCCTCGGCTGCTCTTCTGTCGTCTCTGGGAGAGAACACTGTCCTGATCACTTAAGCTCTGGGAGTTTTCTGTTCCCTTTCCCTTCTTTTGCAATTGGAAGCATCCTGACTGATCCCAGTGGAACCTAAGAGTCCAGCTGCAAATTCAAAAGCCCTGGCACCCACCCCAGAAGCCAAAGGCCTGCTTCACGCGAGCCCTTTCCAGTCCCTCATGCAACAGAGCCAACTCCGAGGAATCTGTTCATTTTCTTTTCTCTCACTTCCGTACGTGACAAAGAAGCCAGACTCCGATCACGTCTCCACCACAGCAGACATGGCCCTGCCTTTCTCCCTAACCTGTGATCTCCACCCTCTAGGCAACACGCTACCAACAAGAGTTTTCTTGCCTGTTTTTGAAAACAAACCAGCAAAACAGGACATCACCTCATTTCTTACTGATCAAAGACAACCTGGACAAACCCCTAAACATCTTATATTCAGGCTTTTCAAGCGGGTCTTTTGTTTTGTTTTATTGGAACAGGCCCAGAGGGGAAGGGAGGTGAGGAGTTCTCTCAGTCCCTAAGATCTCATTACGGACGGTGTGGGTGGCGCAGCCGCTGGGGCTCCGGCCGCCCGAGGGCCTGATGAGACGATCCACCATGGCACAGGGACGGAGGAGAGGCCAACACGCCCATGATTTCATGGTCCTGGACTCCTCCAGATTTTAAAGCTCTAGTCTCACCCCCTGAAGGACCCCAGCTCAAAGTGGCCCCAGAGCAAGTTACTGGGAGTTAGGAAGGCGTCGGAGCCTCCCGCCACTGGCGAGCTGGAAAGCTTAAGGGACTCGAAGTGAGAGCAGACTGCGGGCTCCCTCCTCTCCCTGAATGCAGGCTCCCAGTCTCACGGGGGCCGGTTCCAGGCTGCAGGATAAAAACTGCTGAGTCGTTGGCCTTTCAAAGTCTCTCCTCCAAGAAACAGCACGCCGGGGCCACCACTGGAGCGACCATGGGCCAAGAGAGCATCTACAGGGCGAGGACCGGACATGGTGGGCCACCTGTGAGGCCTGGGCCAACCTCCAGTTCTAGGAGCCGCCTGAACCCACCCTGTGCTGTTACCAAGAGCTGTAAAACAGCAGCGAATCAGGGCATGTATGTGGCTAATCCTCCCCCAAAGAACCAAGATTCGTCCGCTTCGGAGAAGAGGGAAGATACTCGTTGGTCCCCCCACTCCTGTTTTTGTGGAGAAGAGTCAGGGTTATCAATCACCTGATTGATTGGTTGTCTAGTTATCCAAAACATGACCTTAAGAACAAAATTAAATTTGGCATTTATCATCTCTGCCAAGATATATTAATAAAAGAAAATGCAGCTTTGTGGTTTCTGTCACATCCTCGGGGGCAGAGGGAGAGGGCAAACGCTTACTGTGCTTTGTAATATCCTGGCCACGGAGAGCTCCTTCTGTGATGATGAAGCCGACAGAGCCATCTGATTGTCAGAGGCAGGGCTGGGATCTGAAGCGGACACTTCATTTAGACCTTCTGTCGGCTGGTGCGCGGGCTCATTCACAGAGTCAAGCTGTGCGGCTCTCAGTGCAGCTGATAATACCTGAACCTGAGCTGCAGGAAGAGAAGTTTCAAGAATTTTAATAACTTTATTTGATTTGCAGGGACTCACTTCAGAGGGGTGTTCACAACAAGGCAGCCTGGCTGTGGGTGTACCACGTGAGCACGCGCCTTCCGCACATCTGTCCAGGCAGTAGCCGTGCCCCGGGGTCCCAGAACGAGCTCTCGGGGAGGCGGTGATATTTACGGCCATTAACTTTAACTGTTCCAACTAAACACCAGCCACGCACAGAGCATCAAATCTGAACGCGAAACGCCTCAATTAGGACAATCAGGGTTTGCCTCCGTCATCTTCCACGGTGCCTGAATGCCAGTGTCTGTAAGGTCCACCTACTCGGTGAGGGGTCCTGCTCCCCCATTTATAAAGCAAGATGGCTGCCTTCTCCACCACACACACACACACACACACACACACACACTAGTTCCTACATCCTGTTTTCTACTAGTTACATTCAACAGACCTCAAGATTCATTGAAACGTTTAGAGCTTGGAGCTGGCTTCCCCGCTGGGCCCAGGGCAAGGTCCCACCTCCTTAACGCAGCACACCAGGCCCTTCCCAATGGCCCGAGTCACATTTCCAGCAGCAGCCAGTTCACAAAGAGCCAGCGTGTCGTTTATTTCTGAAACTTTGGGGGTCACAGATCCCTATGAGCTCTGATGAAAAGCCACGGGTCCGTCCTCAAAAAAGAAATCAGGCACGCGTATACACGTGAGCTTTTACAAACGACGATTTCCAGGAGCTGAAGGAACCCTCTGAAACTCATCCCTCTCAACTCCTCTGGACGGCGGGCTCCTAGCCGTCGTCTCTCGGGGGCCACATCAAACGCTGCCTGCTCTGCAAGGCCTTCCCTCAGACATTTCCCCTGTCCTCAGGGGTCCTGCCCCGTGCTCCCATGGCGCGCCATGCCTCCTCCTGTCCCAGCCCCTGCCGCACCCTGTACCCGTGGCTCGTTTACCCCTCCACCTGACCGTAAGGTTCCTCCTGTGTCGGTCACTGCTGCCCCAGCACCCGGCCCGGGTCCCAGAGCTGAGATCAACGCAGCTTTCGAAATGTGTTTTCCAAAAACAGACCTGTGTCTGTAGCTATTAGAAGTGATAGGTTACATGTGCTCAATCCTTCAGCAAACATTGACTTAATTTCCTTTATAAATTTAAAGAAAAAGAATAATCAGAGGGCTAACTGGATTTTCACATTTCCTTTCCCGAAAGCTTCACAAATCTTTGCCCGGCAACAGCAGCCAGTGTTGTTTTTTCCAATTTCCCCAACCCAAGGAAGAATACAAATATAGCGCTGTTTAGAGCAAGGAGAGGCGTGATAATGGATATGGATTGCAAGGCCCGGCTCCCAGATCAGATGCTCAGTGGGAGCACTAGTCATAAAACGAAAAATACCCCAGAGAAGAAGTTGTGCTTTTCCTTGCTGTACAAAGACAAAAACCTTAAAGTTTGGCTAAGGGCTGAGTCAATAGGCTCCAAAAGGAGCACCATTCTCAGCGGTTTGTAACTAGAAAAAGCATTATAACGTGGGAAATGATGTAACAGCATCCAAGGAGCTAATAAAATTTCCACTGCTACAGACGGGCCCTGCAAACTATCTGCCTTTCTATTAAAGCCGACTTCGGCCTCGCACAGCCGCAAAACCAGGAGGCAAAACCCGACAGGTACCTGCACAGAGATCCCCAGAGCTCCGGCGTGGGGAGACCACGAGAGAGTCTCTCCTGCCCACGTGGGCACTGTGTGCGTCGAGGTAAGCACACACAGGCGCTGTGGTGCACAGCCCAGAAAGGCCCCGTTTTCTCTCTAATCACGATGGATGACGTTTACCTTGAACATCTGGATCATCCATCACATGCTCCTGTAAACTATCAAGGACTTTCTGAATCTCGCTCCTGGCCACGCAGCTGTCTTGCACAGCCTCGGGTCTGCTGCAGCCTTTTTCGCGTGGCCCAGCCTCACTCAGAAGCAGCTCTTCCAGGTCCTTGCTTATGTCAGGGAGAGGAGTCCGCCAATAGAGGAAATTATTGAATACGTCCTCAGGACTCTCTGGGCAGGTCCAAGAGCCGGGTCCAGGGTGGCTGTTGACGGGGAGGTCGTTCCTCTCAGGGAGCTTGAGGGTGGCACTGGCCTCTGGGGAGAGCCCGGTCAGCTCAGCTCCAGCCAAGGCAGAGTCTTCCACTGAGTTTCCCATCATGCCACGAGAGGAGCTACGGCACAGGAAATTGCTGGTTCCCGCGGACGTGCCTTCCGTGGGCAGGTCTGGCTCCGTGCGCACCGGCCTTGCGGAACTAGGTTAAGATTGAGGGGGGCACTTTCAGCACCATGTAACAGACTGGAAGTAAGATGGGTAAACATGAAATCCACATCCTCCCAGGCCCGGTCCTCCTCTTTCCCTGGCCACCCGACCCTCCTGAGCCTCCCGGGGGGCGAGCAGATCATAGCCTCACGAGAGCATGAGAGGTCTACCCAGCCCCCTTTGCCCCACTGGGCGTATCGCGTGCAGTGAAAACGCCACGCAAAAGTTCAGCCAGTCCCTCCATTATATGCAAGTGGGGAGTCACCCTGGCTTCTGCCGCCACACCCACACGCCCAAAGCCAGACTGCGTGTGCTTAGGGCTCGGCTCGTTAGTACCCCACCAGGGGGCAGGCACTGGAAAACAAAAGGTACTGAGCGACACTGGTGAGTGCTATTTGCTCACCACTTGGGAGAGTCTTGAGGGACGTGTGCACTCGGGCCTAACATTCGGCAGGAGCTCAGTGAATGTGGAGGGACAACGATGGGGGGGAAGGACGCACCAGTCTCAAAGAGGAGGTGTGCTATCTGACGTGTAAATCACTACTCCCGTGCTCCGGTGTGATGTTGACAAGGGAGAGACGCTTGCAAACGACCTCGAGCGGTCTGGTTAGCGTTGTACCCGTGATCCTCAGACAAAAGATGAAAAAACTCCGAGATCGATCGCTAGAACGGACTAGGGAAGCGGCACAGCGTCCGCCAACGGTGGGTCAGGAATGGCCCCTTTACGTGCACGCGATACCCCACGTTTACGTGCACGTGACATCATCCCACGGCATAAGCGTACATTTGAGGGATTTCACATCTTCGCTTGCGTAAGTCACCCAAAGAACTTCATTAATCAAAAAGTAAGAGAAAATTTTCTTTACAGGTTATTTAATCACTACTCTCAATGAATATTTTATCTAAATTTAGGAGACACAGTAGCTTCATTATTTATAACCCAGTAGTCATGCTTCAAAATCATTATTGCAATTACTTTTTGCTTCTTTACATAATTAAAGCTCTAATATTCCATCTTGCCCAGGAGGTCACTGTTACTAAAGCTCCAGACAAGATAATTGCTAAAATTTTAGGTGGACGCTTGAGGTGAAGCGCGGGCCCCGGTAATCATCCCGCTCGGAGCTCACCAGGCCGAGGACGTGCTTCCACAACTGCCTGTGCCGGGCGACCCCGGGGTGAAATCAGAGTCCAGGCCCCGAGCCGGTGGTCGGATGCTGAGGGGGCCGTCTTCTCCAATATAAAGGCCAGCCCTGGGGGGGTTCGCAAAGGTGGAAATGAAGGGGCCCAGGGACTGGAAGGCCGCCTGGCGCACCTGCGAACGGAGAGAACAGAGCGGCGAACGTGGCGTCGGCCACACGAGTCAGGCCCCAGGCCGGGCAGCTGGCTGACCGCCAGACTCGTCACTGTCTGCCGAATCGGGTCTAGCGAGGCAGATTTTCTAAGGCTTTCTCCAAATTCCAAACAGACCATTTTTCAACAGAAAATAAGGGAAAACTCACTACCATCCTGTGGTTTCTATTCTCCCAGAATTGTAATCCCACATCGAGTGACTGCACACTTCACAAAGTGCTGACCAGACTGTATGGACCACAACGGGCATGTTTGTGAGAGGAACAGAAAAGGTCAACTCTTCGGTTAGAGTGTTTTCCTTCTCGTTTCTCTGATACTCGTTCACGACAGGCATCAGGGTGTGTGCCGCCTGCTGACCAAGCACCAGAGCTTCTGAGAATTTAAGTGCCCTCACCCTCACCCTCGCAAGGTCTACATACGCCAATCAGTAACCGAAGAGACACAAGTCCAGGGGCCAAGACGAGGCCAGTCGGCCCGCGGTGGCTGGCGGCCAGCGCTGCCCAGTGGCCCGCACTTACCCATCGGCAGGGGTCGCTGATGAGTCTGATGAAGAGGGGTGACAGCTGGGCTCTGCGGACCTCCGGGGACGCGCTGTAGGACACAGCCATGAAGCACTCCGCACAGGCTTTTCGCATCCCCCACACATTATCTGAGCAGAGCTCCAAAAACTTTGGGATCTACCAAAGCAAACAAAACCGTGCTACTCAAATTGATCACCCTGAGAAGGGCAGAAAGCTTTTCTCGTGCCTTTTTTAATTACGGCGTATCCATAAATTAATGACAAAGAAGACGGAAATACATCCTAGTCTAAAAGGAATCATTTGAAACGGAAAGAAACTATGGAAGGAGAGTGAGGAAACATTTCCTTTAGAGATGGAAGTGATAGAAGGTAAATTGTTAAAAACTGACAGTAATGCAAAATAATTCCTATCCACAGAAATGCAAACGCGTCCAGTGGAATGTGCTCGATGATCACCCTGGGCGCTGAGCAGTTCTGAATCCACATGCAAGTTCACGTCAGTATCCCTTGGTCTGACCAAGAACGCGTGGCCCTTCGAGTTCCCCATTAAGCCAGGTGTTGGACCTTACCGGTTCCCTCACGAATAAAGGACTTCAATAAAATCTTTGACCTCTTTCTTCACTTGCTATCTGTAGGAGGGTCATGACCACATCCTCTTTTAAAATTTATCCTTCAAAAACGAGGCTTTGTTTTTGATATCCCAACGTAAAATAACCAGCCAAAATCCTCCACAAATGTGAATACCCGACTGTGGAAATATCCACCGACAGAAAGGTTATCATGTCGGGCACTGCTGTCCTTCATTCAGACTCATTACACAGAAGACTGCCGATTCAGAGCGACGGCCCACTAAGAATTATCTGGGGTGTCAGAAGTATGTTGATGTGGTGCCCACTTGAAATAAAACAAAATGAGCTTCTGAACTTGAATTTAAAAATCAATTTAGAGGGGCGCCTGGGTGGCGCAGTCGGTTAAGCGTCCGACTTCAGCCAGGTCACGATCTCGCGGTCCGGGAGTTCGAGCCCCGCGTCAGGCCCTGGGCTGATGGCTCAGAGCCTGGAGCCTGTTTCCGATTCTGTGTCTCCCTCTCTCTCTGCCCCTCCCCCGTTCATGCTCTGTCTCTCTCTGTCCTAAAAATAAATAAACGTTGGAAAAAAAAAAAATTTTTAAATCAATTTAGAGAGTATACTTTTTGAGCTTGCATTCTAACCATACAGGTCACACATCCTGTCCGGTAAAAATCCCGTCCAGTAAAAGTCAAATAAAAACGCAGGCTGGGCATCCTGTCAAATCAAAGCGGCCAGCCCCTATTTAGCATAGTTCTGCGTAGGCACCAGGGAAACAGAGAAGAACAGGAGAGGGTGAAGACCCCACATCAGAGGAACCATAATGAGGTGTGATAAGAGACATGCACGTACTCTGAGCAAAATGTTACGGGGGTGCTGAAAAGGGAGGGATTCATTCTCTCTGGCACAGTGGGTAGGTGAGCCTCGACAAGGAGAGGACTTTGCAGAGGCGTGTGCACATTCGAGCCGGGTTTGAAGTGTGAGTTGGGTCCCACCAGGTGGGGAAGACACTGGAAAGAGAGGGATGGTAAGGAGCAGAGGTGTGGCAGGGGGAAAGGCAGAAAGCTTCGCGGGAGCCGAAAGGCCACCTGCTGGCTAGGGAAGTGGTTCTCTGTCCTGCCGTACAACAGGATCTCGAGGGGATTGAGGGGAAATGCAGACCCCTGGGCTTTACCCACCCCCCGCCCCCCATGAGTCGGACACATGGCCAAAGGTGAGACCCGCCCAGACTAGGGGAAGTGGCAAGAGGTGAGGCAGGAAAGGTACTTATGAAGGGCCCCCAAAGGCCAAGAAAGGTCTGAATTTTAACCTGTAACCTAGAAAACTCCCACTGGTCTGGGAGCCCAGGAGTGAGGGGATAGAGTCTAGGTATTCTAGAAAGAGCAGAGGAGAAGGGACAGAGTGGCTTAGACAGTAAGAAGAGACTCGGGGGGGGGGGGGGGGGGAGTGATCAGTGAGGAGGTGACAGCAAAAGGCCACAGTAAAGTGGGCTGGGGTTGCTTCCGCTCCGTTCCATGGGCCAGCTGCCTAAGACTTATGGGAAAAGGTTATAGCTTCAGAAGTCAAGAAATTTGGAACGGATGAATGCAAAACTGAGCTGTCATTCCGAAGTAACGGATTCATAAGTACAAAACTTCACACTTGATTTTAAAAGTGCCCTAAGAAGTGCATGAGCAATTACAACTGGCAAAACTTCACATACCAGAAATTTCTCAGTGGCTTCTTGTCCAACGGCATGACAAATATCACCAAAATTTGTAGCACACACCTTAAAAAGGCAAAAGGCATACCCGTTATCCTCAGCTTTCTTTTTGTCTTACCAAATCGTGACAACTAACGAGCAGAAGCCTCGCGGGCAATGACTCCTCTAGTCAGGCACCTAACAAGCACTTACTGAGCCTGCCGCCCACACGGCACAGCCCAGTGCCCCTGGTGCGTTGGGAACAGAAGACTTAAAACAGAGTACCAAATCCTAGGACTTTCTGGCTCCCAACTGATCTCAATACATAATGCATTTGGTGAGCAATAAAGCAAAAGAGACCCCGAATATTCTCTGCGTGATAGATGAGACCTCTCTTCTTGCCGATGCGTCACAAGGAGAGACCAGAGGGAAGATGGCCAGTGACGCAGCAAGGAGGAGGAGGAGGCTGTCTGGGGAGGCGTGGCAAGGGCCTCGGAGAGGAAGAATCTGGTAACCAAGCGAACAAGCCACCGAAAGGGAAGGGGGAGGGCAGGGGTTGGAGTTGGAAGGTACGGCAAAGGTTAAGAGGGTTCTGGAACAAAGGGGCGCAGCTCATGAAGGACCGTGCATGTTAGCGCACAGCACCTAACTGCAAGTCAGTGAGGTCCCGTTGCTCGTGTTGCTGCGACTAAGAGTAGGGGGCTGCCTCACGCAGGACCCGTCTCCAGGTCCCTGCGTGCACCCCTAGCTGCAGCCAACACGGGCAACGCTGTGCACAGGCTCTCCTCACGTGGTTCCCAGTGGCCACATTTTTCTTCCAGCCTGCGTCTACTAGAGCAGCCGAGAAACTGCCAAGGAATCGATTTTGAATTCTCCAACTGTTGGAATTTTTTGAGTTTCGAAACTCCGTGTCCCAACCTTCCGAACTTGAAAGAGCTTCCCGTCCCCACACAATTCACAGAATCGAGGGAGCAGCAGGCGTTCAACTGTGCTCTTGTTCAGCACCGAAGCCAGCTTGCAGATGATCTAGAAGCAAGAGAAAAAGCAGAGTCACTTGACACACCACAGCTCACATACTGCACACAGCTCCCAGTAAACTCCAGAAGCTGATATTCAAAACACGGCCAAGATACCCAGGAAGTAAACGTGGAGAACACTTTCTTTTGAGTTCTGCCTAGTAATATGATCGGTAGAAGGCCAAATATCCCTCAAGATTTCCTCAGATAAGAGTCTGTCTGAAGCTCAAGCATTGCCATTTGCCAGGTACCTAGCATGTGTCCAAAACATAAATGAACAACTTGTGTGTGTTAACTCACTTTCCTTTCCCTAAACCCTATGACCTGGGCATCATTTATCGTCATTTCTGCAGATAGAGAAACTAACACTCGGAGAGATTAATTAACGTGACCCAACCCCAGCAGTGGTGAGGTAGGAAGTACATAACAGCTGGTCAGAGTAGAAAAACAGTTGTTGGCAATCCAGTAATGACACTACTGGGTATTTACCCCCAAAATACAAAAACACTCATTCAAACACTATAAACACTATGTTTATGGCAGCGTTATTCACAACTGCCAAATTATGGAAGGCAGCACACACGCAATGGACTATTACTCGGCCATAAAAAAGAATGAAATCTCGCCATTGGCAACAGCATGGATGGAGCTACAGAGTATAATGGTAAATGAAATAAACCAATCGGAGAAAGAAAATCACCATATGATTTCACTCATGTGTGCAATTTAAGAAATAAAACAAATTGGGGCGCCTGGGTGGCGCAGTCGGTTAAGCGTCCGACTTCAGCCAGGTCACGATCTCGCGGTCCGTGAGTTCGAGCCCCGCGTCAGGCTCTGGGCTGATGGCTCAGAGCCTGGAGCCTGTTTCCGATTCTGTGTCTCCCTCTCTCTCTGCCCCTCCCCCGTTCATGCTCTCTCTCTGTCCCAAAAATAAATAAACGTTGAAAAAAAATTAAAAAAAAAAAAAAGAAATAAAACAAATGAACAAAGGCAAAAAAAAAAAGAGACAGGGAGCGGGAGGGAGGCAAACCAAGAAACAGACTCTTAACTGCAGAGGGCACCGGTGGTCACCAGAGGCGAGGTGGGTGGGGGGATAGGTGAAATTGGTGATGAGGATGAAGAGGACATTTACCACGATGAGTACGGAGTGATGTATGGAAGTGCTGAATCACTATATTGTACACCCGAAATTCACATTACACTGTATGTTACCTGTACCGCAATTAAAGTAAAACGAAAATGACTGGCTGCCACTGGGAAATGATCAAGGGCTGGTAGAAACTACAGGAGAGCAGATCCTTGAGAGAAGGAGCCATGCTCCATAAAAATGCACCTTGCTTTTCTGCCCAGGCCTGACCCACCCCGTTCTGCATTGCTACACAGTGTAACTGGACCTCAAGCAAAAAGTACAGCATTCCTGGCTTGAAAAGTCAGAGAACAGAGAGGGAGGTTGCCGGAGCCGCTGATAAATGAGGGCAGAAATCCTAGGAAGGAAGGAAGGAAGGAAGGAGAAAGGTCAAAAAGGGCAAGCCCCGCTCCCCCAGGTCTGTGATTAAATACTCCTCTAATTCTTGGCTGAACTCAAAACCGTGCATACCCAGAGGAGATGGGGAGGTTCACAGGGAAAAGCAATTGCCCAAAGGCAGAAGGAACTGAATAGTCTCAGCTGCTGACTATCGCAGAGGGAAGAGAATCTGAACTGTTTGCTAGAACAAAGGCAACACTCTTCAGAAGAAAATAACAGAACCCAGAGTGTCTACAATGTTTCACGGGTTGCTGACAACAGACAATAAAAAGCTCACAGTACACTTGCCACGAGGAGCACGGAACACAGGGTGATGTATAGAATTGCTCAACCGCTAGAATGTACACCTGAAGCTAACATAACACTATGGGTTAACTATATTGGAATTAAAATTAAAAACTTAATGTTGCCAAAAAATAAAAACAAAAACACAGATCTAGAAAAAAATTCATACACATGAGAGGAAATAGGAAAATGTGGCCCACGGTCAAGAGAAATAGTCAGCAGAAACAAACCCACAGAAGAGCCAGATGTCAGCATTACCAGACATTCAAAAGCCTTTGAAGCAGCTCAGAGGCTAAAAGGAAACAGAGTCCTAATGAATGAACAGAGAGGAAATCTCATCAAAGAAATGGAAACTATAGAAAAGAACCAAGCCTTCTGGTAATAACACAGTCAGCTTGATCTGACTTACCGTCCTGCACATAGCAACTACAGAATCTTGAAGGAAAACAATTAAAAACAACCATTTAAGAGCACTGGAGAGCAACCAAAGGCGGAAACTAGAGGGGACGTTATCGTTAAAAGACGAGCTTCAATAGGAAAGATTTGCAGGGCAGCCCCAAAGTGCGTGCTGGATTCAATTCGCTGAAATCTGTGATGGGCTGCTAAATTATACGCGCATGGGGGAGATCCCGGGAGACCCAGCAAAGGAGTAGTGACCAGAGATTTCAGCAGCTACACACCACAAAGGAGAGAGCAGGGAGGTGGAGATCAGGCAAAACAAATGCCCGCTACATGAAAAATCACTTTTAGAGCATCTTATAAAACAAAATGGCCATCTTATGACCAAAAAAGAAAAAAAAAAATCACCTTAGAGAAATAAAACAGAATCCAGACTCTCAACAGTGTATCATTTATAATGTCTGGTGTTCAATTAAAAATAACTACCTATGGGGGCACCTGGGTGGCTCAGTCGGCTCAGCGTCCCACGTCATGATCTCATGGTTGGTGAGTTCGAGCCCTGAGTTGGGCTCTGTGCTGACAGCTCAGAGACTGAAGCCTGTTTCAGATTCTGTATGCCTCTCTCTCTGCCCTTCCCCCACTCATTCTCATTCTCTCTCTCTCTCTCTCTCTCTCTTAAAAATAAACATTAAAATTTTAAAAAAGAAAAAACTACCTATGTGTTGACAGGAAAAGGTGATCCATAATAAAGAAAAAAAAGTGGTCAACAGAAATCGACACCAAGGTGAGATCCCATGTCACAACTATCAGACAAGGACTTTTAAAAAGCTCTTATAAATATATTCAAGGATTAAGAGGAAAACGTAAGCATTATGAAGGACACATTGGGGTGCCTTGGTGGCTCCGTCGGTTAAGTATCAGACTTCAGCTCAGGTCATGATCTTGCAGTTCGTGGGTTCAAGCCCCGTGTCGGGCTCTGTGCCGACAGCTCAGAACCTGGAGCCTGCTTCAGATTCTGTGTCCCCTCTCTCGCTGCCCCTCCCCACTCATGTTCCCTCTCTCTCTCTCTCTCTCTCTCTCTCTCCCTCTCTCTCAAGAATAAACAAACATTAAAAAGTTTTTTAAAAAAAGGACACATAAAGAATCTCTGTATCACAGAGATTGTAGAAACTATAAAAAAGGTCAGAGCAGAAATACTAGAGCTGAAAAATACAGCAACTGAAATTAAAAACCTAATGGGTAGGCCAAACAGCAGATTAAAGATGACAAAAAGAGTCACTGAACTTAAAGACAGATCAATAAAAATGATCAAATCTGAACATCAGAGAGAAAATGACTAAAAAACCAAACAGAACCTCAAAGACATGTGGGGCAGTGTGAAGCACCCCGACTCTGTGTGATCTAAGTCCCAGAACGAAAGGAGAAAACAAGAACGGTACACAGAAGAAAAGCACTCGAAGGAACACCAGCCAAAATTTCCCGAGTCAGGTGCAGTGCACCAACACACAAATCCAAAGAGTTCAATAAACACAAATCAGGATAAGCATTCACTCTGCAAAGATAAAGAGAAAAATTTTAAGAGCAGCCAGAGGAAGAAAGGATACTATAAATACAGGACCGTATGAATGACAGCTCGCTTCTCCAGAAGACTACAGGGTGAGATCTTTAAAGCAATGCCAGAAAAAACAAAAATAAACCTATAAAGCCACAAGTCTGTATCCAGTGAACCCATCAGTCAAAAATGAAGGCGGGGCGCCTCGGTGGCTCAGTTGGTGGAGCATCCGACTCTTGATTTTAGCTCAGGTCATGATCCCAGGGTTGAGGGGTCGAGCCCCACATGGGACTCCGTGCTGAGCATACAGCCTGCTTAAGATTCTCTCTCTCTCCCTCCACCCCTCTCCCCCACTCATGTGTGTCCTCTCCCTCTCTCTCTCTCTCTCTCTCTCTCTCTCTAAGAAAAAAGAAAAAATGAAGGCAAAATAAAGATATTTTTAAATAAAAAATGGAGAGATTTCATCCTCAGTCAAGCTAAAAAAAATACTGAAGTTCTTTAGGCTGAAGGTATGATACCAGATGGAACTTTAGATCCAGGAAAGAAAGGAAGACTACTCAAACTGGTAAAAATGGGAGGCTATTTTTTTCCTTTCTTAATTTCTTCAAAATATAGGATTGTTTAAATCAAAAATTGCAATACTGTATTATCAGGTTCATAAGGAAGGTATATGTCCCAATGTGTGTGAAAACAGCACACAAAATAGGAGAAGGAGGGTGTGGAATGACTTCATTGCAAGGTGTTCTAGGTTTTGAAAATACTCACAGAGGAATTAAAATATAGCACTACAAAAATACTCAATTGGCCCAAAAGAAGGCAGGAAAGAATGAACAGAGGAACAAAAACAGACGAGACAAATGGAAAAAAATAACAAAATGGCAGAATTCAATCCCAATATAATCAATAATTGCATTAAACATAAACAGACTGGGGCGCCTGGGTGGCGCAGTCGGTTAAGCGTCCGACTTCAGCCAGGTCACGATCTCGCGGTCCGTGGGTTCGAGCCCCACATCGGGCTCTGGGCTGATGGCTCAGAGCCTGGAGCCTGTTTCCGATTCTGTGTCTCCCTCTCTCTCTGCCCCTCCTCCGTTCATGCTCTGTCTCTCTCTGTCCCACAAATAAATAAAAAAAAGTTGAAAAAAAAATTAAAAAAACAAAAAAAAACATAAACAGACTGAATGCTCCCATTAAAGAGCAGAAATGGTCAGACTAGGTATACAAGCAAGGCCACCTCCATGCTCACGAAAGC